TTGTACTGAATTATAAATTGGTTACACTAATCAAGATAACTGAACAAATAAATCTCTACCACACTCATGTGGCATATAACCAGGGAATCCAATTTGAAACACATAACTCAAATTAATAGTTAATGAGTATCCGAAAAACAAACAAAATGTTAATGAAGATAGCAAGCGTGACATCTCAATGCAATCGCCTCTGTATTTTGACTTTGATTTCTGCTCATAACTCATGATGCCATCAAGATTAATTACACTCATGGACCAAATAAAGTTCTTATCTTATGTCAGTATGAAAATAAATTACGTGGGCTTTTTATTGTCTATTTGGTAATATCTACAGTAGCCAATGAAACAGAGCAAACGTAATGCATGGAATTTACTGCTGGGGGTCATTCTTATCGCCTTCCCACTCAGGACTCAGCCCTCTGAATTATTTAGCCTACACCAGAAGCTCCAAACTAGAATGCGGTTTGGCTACTTATGAACCAAATACAAAATCCACTCTAAAATAAAAAGAAAAAAGCAATTCCTTGCTAGGTATTCCTCCAAATGGTTTCTATTAAGAGGTTAACATTCTTCATACAGCTAATCAGCATTTGGCTAGGAGCCAATGAGGCAACAGACACTTTCTGTAGTTTTCTACAGGTGTGGGAGGACAGGGTGAAGCGAAAACAGGGAAGGGAGCCCTGGGGAGAATGCAGGAGTAGCTGTGATCCAGTATTCCTGGAAACTGTCCAGAAAAGAGTATGCTAAACAACTTGCCCAGGTGTCTACTAAAATCAGGTGTTCTGAAGCTAATAATTAAAGTAGCACCCATCTACCTGCCTGCTTAACATGTAAATGTATGACAACTTCAAGTATTATGCTATATACACGATTAAACTGGAATAGAGTATATCAAGTATGTAATAAAATATTAGTTTTGGATGTTTTTTAATGCAGATGTTACTGGCCCAGGTCCTCCTTGGTCTTTCTAGTCATAATATGCAGGACTTTTTGTTTTATTTTGCAAATGGTTACATATCCATCATAGTTCTTTATTTTCCACTTATGTAGGTAACCGAGGTCCATAGCCCAGAGCCTAAAATCCATCAATCTCTAAAAAAACAAACACTTTTAATAAAAATTTAACTGTGTACCTTCTTTTCCTATTATTTCAGTATGATATTTAGCAATCCTTCTACCATAAAGCTGATTACCCTATTGAGAAATAAGTTTTCCAACTTTATTTTCAACCTTTCCAACAATAATTATCATTTCCTATCTCACTGTTTTTCTTTTTTTTTAAATCACTCTCTGCCACATATTTAAGTTACTTAATGGATTTTTATTTTCTCCATTATTTGGACAATGTTTCAGATTCACTGTATTCCCCACAGCACAGAGCTTTAATAGTTTTCAAAATAATGCTTATGGACTCTTGTGATTATGAACAACTACAGTATGTTCACTACTCAACATTTTGAAAATACAGAAAAGTATAAAAGATATAATAAATAATGCCTGTTCACCCTTCAGTGGGAAAAAAGCACTTCCGCATTTTGGCCCTTTTGGCCTCTTTCCTATATAAATAGATCTTTCTGGGTTTTTTATAACAAGTTGAGAGCGTACTGTAGATACAGCTCTCTATTCTATTTGTTCCCTATTTAACAATAATTAGTAAACACCTTTCCATAGTTAAAATTATTCACAAATGGCCCTGGCTGGTTTGGCTCAGCAGTTAGTGTCAGCCTGCGGACCAAAGAGTCACAGGTTCGGTTCCAGCTAAGGGCACGAACGTCGGTTGTGGTTCATCCCCAGCCCCGGTTGGGGTCGTGCAGGTGGCAACCAACCGATGTGTCTCTCTCACATCAATGTTTCTCTCTCACATCAATGTTTCTCTCTCTCTCTTCCTCTCTCCCTCCTTCCTGCTCTGTCTGAAGATAAATGGAAAAATATCCTCAGGTAAGGATTAAAAAAAAAAATTCATAAATATCCCTTTAAATGTCTGCATAACACCATATCTTTTGATGACGCCATAATTTATTTAAACTGTTCCCCTGTTGTTGGGCATTTCAATTATTGCTAATATGACTTTTCTAATCGAAAACATTTGTGAACATTAATTTTTAAAATATTTCTCATAAGTTCCTTTGGATTGCTAAAAGTGGAATTACTGGATCAAGGGGTAAGAGAATTAGTGAAGTTTTTCATACATTAAGCCAAGAAGCTTTTCAGAAAAGTTATAAACCCCTCCCAGCATCTGAGAGTATCTGCCCCACTGCACACTTACTAATGTGGATAGTTATAATTTTTAAAAATCTATGTAAATATAAAAGCTGGAAAATGCACCTTGCTATTGCTTCGATTTCATATTTTTGATTAATGGTAAGAGAATACATTTTCATATATCTATTAGCCATTTCATTTTCTCTTTTATGAACAGTCTGTTCCCGTCTTTCACCCATTTTTCTGCTACAATCTGTATTAGTTTTCTATTGGTACATAACACATTTCCACAAACTGAGTTGCTTAAAACAGCACCCATTTTGTGTTTCCTAATTCTGAAGCTCTGAATCTAGGTGGGCCTTGCTACATTCTCTTCATAGGGTCTCTTTCACGAGGCCAAAATCAAGGTGGTGGCCGGGAGGGGCTTTTACCTAGAGGCTCTGCAACAGAATCCAGTTCTAACTCATTCAGTTTGCTGGCAGAATCCACCTGTGGCCCTGGGGTCTGAGCTTCCAGTTTCCATGCTGGGCCACCCTCATGAACTCTAGGCCTCCTGCATTTCTCAAGGTGGCTGGCCCCTGTTCCTTCTCAAGTGTCCCTTCCATCTTCAAAACATCAACAGCATGTTCAGTCCTTCTTAGGTTTCAAATCTCTCCGATTTCCACAGACAGTGAAAATCTTCTCTTTTATGGGCTCCTGTGATTACATTAGGCCAATCCAGATAATTTCCCCATCCTAAATTTAACTGTGCCTTATAAAACATAATCAAGGGATATTTCATCGTATTTACAGGTTCCAGGGATTAGGGCATGCAATCTTGGTAGAGGCATTATTAAAATTGCCCTGGCCAGTTTGGCTCAGCGGTTAGAATGTCGGCCTGCGATCCAGAGAGACCCGGGTTCGGTTCCCGCTCAGGGCACATACCTTGGTTGCAGTTTGTTCCCGGCCCTGGTTGGGTGGTGCGGGAGGCAGCCACTCCATGTGTCCCTTTCACGTCGATCTTTCTCTCTCTCTCCCTCCCACTCTATCTGAACAAAAAATGGAAAAATGTCCTTGGGTGAGGATTAAAAAGTAAATAAATTTTTTTTAAATTGTGTCTGCCGTAGACTCATAGGTATTATTTTTTCAATAATTTGTTTGTGCTCTTTATGATGTTTTAATTGCATGCATTTACCAAATAAATGAATCTTACTGATGACTGCCAGAGTTGCATTTTCACAATGGCAAAGGCAACTGTAGAAGGGGCTGCTGTGTGCTAATAAAAATTCTGTATACATAACTTTGCTAACACTGGTATTTTTAAAAAATTTTTAACTGTGGGAAAATGTTTACAATACATACAAAAAAAATTGCTATCTAAATCATTTTTAAGTGTACAGTTTAGTATTGTTAAGTACATTCACACTGTTGTGTAACCAATCTACAGAACTCTTCATTTTACAAAACTGAAACTCTACACCCATTTAACAATTCTCCATTTTGCTCCTCCCTCCAGCTCCTGGCAACCACCATCTTACTTTCAACACTGATATTATATGTTATTTATTAACAAACATGTATATAGCAATTGCTACATGCACTAAGCACTTTAATAACGCATTTAATCCTCATAACAATCCTATGAGCTCTGTATTGTTATTATCCCCATTCTACAGATTAAGAAACATAGTAAGTAAACATCCCAAGTTTACAAAATAGGGAAGTGGCCAAGAAGGAATACAAAACCTAGTCTGGCTTTATAGTCCTGTATAGTGAACCATTACACTGTGAAAATATTCATTGTACAGACAAACTCATCAGGCATCAATAGTACGTCCTTTATGTGCACAATTTAAAAATAATTCTCTATGTGCAATTTAACATAATATTCTTCTAAATGAAAGTTAGATTGTGACCATGGTGCCACATGTCTACTGACCTTTTAACCCAGTGATGGTTAACATATTTTCATGAAGTTAATGAAACAAAAAAAAACTGCTGTGTGTTTATTTTCGGTACTCCAATTATAACTTACATGTGGTACTTTATAATAAAATATCTTATGAATGAATACAAATCACAATTCATTGTGACAACTAAAATTAAAATAGTAACGAAGAAAACACAGGTGTTTCTCTTTTCCAAGGAGGTAAAAAGAAGGAGAAAAACTTCCAAATAAGTTTACAACAGCACATAGTTCAATCTCAGTTTAACCTGGAAAATCCAAACATGTCCTGCTTTGCAAGCTACAAATCTAGATCAGTCTTAACTTGTCATTCATTTGTATATCTCAGTAATAACATTTCATCTGAGGAGCCGGTCGGAAATTTCCTTAGCCTTAAATTTTTAGCTTAGTAATTTTCTGATAGAAGACCAAATCATGCTTGTCATCGATTACATACTGTAGTTTCATTTAATATACATTAAACATGAGCGGAGTCAACAGAGGAGAACAATAGTTGTTTCTCTGGGAGCCCCAGCTTGATGTGAGTTCAAAGCTCTGCTGAGGTTTGGCTTCTTGGACGTGGGAGGGGGTAGGGGTACCAAAAACAACGCACAAAACTGAACAGCTATTTCACTGCTTTCTACTTATATACCTAATTCACAAAAATAAGCATACAAGGCACCAGGTAAGCTCCCCTCACCCATTATCCATTGCATTTTAGTACAGTCTCCAGAATGAAATAAAAACCAGAGCATGGACGAAACAGCAAAATCACCGCTACCCCAGGGAGCTTCTCTGGTATTTACCATCCTGTCATCCCCACGCCCTTCCCCCAGTGGTCAGCCAGGCAGCACAGAAGCAGGCAGATGCTCACCTGGCCCCAGCTGCTTCTTTCCCTTCACCTGCTGGGCCTGCAATCTACTCCTGACTGGGGCTGGGCTTCCAGAACCCGCCCGGCTCACGATGACAGCCGCTCTGGCCGCGAACCATCACTGCCCGGCTCTCTGTTTACAAGCGCTTCTCACGGTCCCACTCTTAAACGCTTCCCCCCAGCAGCCCGGGAAGCGAGACCCGCACACACAAGGTTCCAGGCCGTGAAGACACCTCTGCTGCCGGAGGAGCTAGCAGCCAGGCAGGGCCTCCTGACCGCACCCGCCAGGCCTCTTACCTCTTTGTTTTCCTGTGCTGTTCTCATGATACACATTTTGAAATCAATGTCATGTGCCGCAGAGTCTCCTCGTTGCTCCTCCCAGCACCCAAGTGATGTGTGCAATTGCAACACTTTGGGGCTGGGGCCCATTTTTAGCAACTCCCTTGTCTAAGAGAATTAATTACTCCTACCTGTTTTCTGAAAAGAGGACTATTTGAACCTAGAGATTGCTTCTCATTTCAGTTTGGAGTTGAAATAAAAATCAGTTTTCACTGGCCTGTCATGTTGCAGCCAGCAGATTGGAAGGGGACAGTTTTGAGGGGAGGTCTTCAACCCCCATTGGGATTCCCAGCAAAACAAACACTGGCTGGTGACGGGTGCTCCTTAGTGAGAGACTCCACCTTTCCCCACCCACAGTGAGTTTGGCCACCTTGCAAGAGGATATAGTGATCTTTCTGGAAGATCTTACTTAAAGTTTCCTACCCTTTTCAACGATACAGCACACGTCTTAGCCATTCTCTCAATATATAATTACACATTTATTTACTTATTTGCTTTATTGGCTTCTCCACCCTCACCCTATAAACTCTCTGAGGGCAGGAACTATTTCGGTTTCACTCACCACCACATAACAGGCTCAAAGCACAATGCCCAATCTATATATGTTTGAATGAATGAAGAAATGGAGGCAAAAAAAAAAAAAAAATTGTCAAAGGAGGCCAGAGAAAGCAGCGTGGTAGGAATGGAAAAATATGATTACCTCTCCCCCTTAAAGAAAATCTTTAACCATAGAATTTTAAAATATATATCTTCTTTGGTTGATGTTCAGAGTTTAAATACATTTAAAAAATAAAACTGACACTGCATTTTGAATTGCATTTCTTGTTCCCTAAACATACAGTATTCTCTTTTGCCTCAGGACTTTGGTATATGTGGGTTTCTCTGAGGGGAGCTTTCACGCCCTCTTCAACCCTTTAGCCTGGCCAACTTTTCCTTGCTCTTTAAGAAGATATCACATCTTTCCTGGAAACCACCAACAAAGGAACCAATTCCTTTTATGCATGCCCAGAGGAACTCACATGTTCCTCTTTAAATGCATTCATCTCATACCAAATGCATCTATATGCTCATCAGTCTTCCTAGACTAGTGGTTCTCAAACTTCAATATGTAACAGCATCTTCTAGAACAGTACTTCTCAAATGTTATGTGTGGGGATCCTGTTAAAATGCAAATTATGATTCAGGAGGTCTGTGGTGGGGCCTCTGCACCTCTAATGAACTAACAGGTGATACTACATTATGAGTGCCAAGGCTCTTGGATGCTTATTAAGAATGCAAGTTCTTGAGTCATACACACCACAGATTTTTATCCCATGGGTCTACAATGGATGGGGTATTGAATTCTGTGATTTTAACAATCGCCTTAAAGTACTTCCGAAACAGGTAATGTCAAACAACAAACTTCGAGACCAGAAGTTGCACTGAAAGAAAGGGTTTATTATTGAGCCAGAGAAAGGACCAGGTCCGGGGTGTGTGGCCTAAACCACCAGCAGCAGGGCTAGATGGAGAAGACAAACATCTCCGCTGCCCTGGGGTTGACAAGGCTCTTTTATACAAGGAGTCTGCGGAAGAAAGATGTAAGTTGCTTTGAAAGAACTAACGGCTATACATTAGGAGGGCAGGAGAAGGTAAAGCAGGACAAGTTCTGGGATAGGGGAATAGTCCGTAAGGAAGAAGTGCTCGTCTCTGGATTGGCGATGGGCAACAGTCCGGAAAGTTCACTTGTAAACAGCATAAGGTGGCATCTGGTGGTGGGCTCTTTTTTTCTAGATAACTGCTGAAATAACTGCCTGGAAGTTAATTCAAATTTTCAATATACATTCAGGAATGCAGGTAAAGTTTTGTTAGTTTCAGCCCCAGGATGCTAACTGTTTAACTTTCCTTGTCTCTTCCTCCTACCTCCAGCCTGCTGTAGCTTAATTTAGGTTACCTCAAAGTTTTTCTCTTTGAGAAAAACAATACCAGTTTATGAAGTTTGAAGGCAGGGTGATGCTTGGACATTATTTCCCACCGTGCATTAAGCACAGGGTCTGGCACATAAAATGCATTAAAAAGCCACATTTGCAGAATGACTGAATTCACTTACTGTCACTAACATAGATCCTCAGCACAGTACCAAGGGAGTAATAACAAGAAAAGGGATAAAAAGTAAAAACAAAAAGAGTCTCAGCTGGGCAGCTGCAGGGTCGTAAGCCTTCATTTGGTCAGAAGGGACATTTTACTCCTCTAAATTTCAAGTGTTTAAGGTCATGTCTCCATTCAAAAGGCTTTCTACTGCCCGGCCAGTGGTTGAGCATTGACCCAGGCACCAAGATGTCGCCAGTTCAATTCCCAGTCAGGGCACATGCCCAGGTTGTGGGACCAATTCTCAGTGGGGGGCACTCAGGAGATGGCCAATCAATGTTCTCTACTCGATGTCTCTCTTTCTCTCTCTCTAATATTAATAAAGAGAAGAAAATAATTTTTAAAGGCTCTCTACTAACAGCAGCCCTACTTTTTTTTTTTTAAATATACCTTATTTTGTGGAGCAGTTTTAGGTTCACAGCAAAATTGAGCAGAAAGCTCCGGGTTCCCATTTACTCCCTGCCCCCGTACATGACAACCTCCCCCACTATCAACATCCTGCACCAGGGTGGTATGTTTGTTACAGTTGATGAATTTACACTGACACATCGTTGTCACTCCCAAATCCATAAGGCCACCTATCTATTTATACCTCTTAGACCTCACAGCTGATACTACTAATTAAATCCCTGTTTGCTCAAGGTAGCTGGAGTTTTCTGTCACTTACAACTGAAAGCATCTTGACTAATATTCCACCTTCCCAGACATCTCTCAAATACTCCTTTCCTCCTGCTCTAATCTCCAGACTCACATTTTTACCACTCCCGGATACTCTTCCTTTCTCATTATCCTGCTTTAGGCTCCCCTGTTATATCTCCTGCATCCCCCGAAGGGCAGGGACCTGTCTCATTCTTCTTTGCATTTTCCACAACACTTATTGTGTTTCCTAGTAAATGATCTCAATGAATGTGCATCACAACAAAATGAAACACCAAAAGACATGTAAGGAGATTTTATTATTATATCCCTTCATTAAATTTTTTTCCTTTTAGCCTTCATGTACTAAAGTAATAGCCAAGCCAGGATTCAATCAAGCAATATTGTCTTCCAAGAAATAAAAGTCTCATCAAAAATATGTTTTAAACATAATCAGAAAAAATATGGTGCTATTTATAGCTTAACGTTTGCAAGACAAGTATACCTCACTTCATGTCCTCAAAAATGCCCAAGTAAAGATGATTCAGATATTCATTGAGTACTATAATATAATTTGTTTGTATCCTTAGGTAAATTAAAAGCATTTGAGATATACAATGCTAAAGCCATAAGTGGAGTCACTTGTTGAAATAAATGAGCCTGCTACTCAGCTTGTAGGCACCCACAAGGCCATACCCATTGTTAAAATGTTAAAATAGGTCAATACAAGTTGTAACTAGCTTCTGTCCTAAGCTTCCTAAGTGTCCTAGGTCTCTCTTCCAAATGACACCTCACCCCACCCATTCTAATATCCAGCACCCATAGGATTAAAACCTGACCCTATTTTGCGGAGAGGGTACCTACAAGACCCTGCTCTTACATTAGGACCAGGATTCTTTATGATTTGTTGATAGTCAGGGCATACATGTTCTTAAGTCTTTTGACTATCACTGCTACACCCAGGGGGAAAAAAATGGAAAGCCTTCAGCAAAAGCAAAATATTTTGTGATTTCCTACCCTACCATCACTATGTTTTTGACCAGAAAGATCAAGAATAAGTAATAAAATCTTACAAAAAGTTTCTTTAATAGCAATTTGACTGAGGTGCATTCTAGTCATTCAACAAGCATGTACTATAGGAATTTATTGTCCTTTAGGTTTATGAGTTCATGATGGCTTATATATTGGTTAGTACTAACCAGCGGCTTCCATTAAGAGCATACCAACTGAGAGAATGGTCCAAAAAGTTAAAACCTTATATAAGGAAAAATGCCTCAGCCTTGATGTGGGAGAGAAGATTTCTGTATGTTATATTCTCATCTTCTTTCTGGGAAAATCCTAGCATTCCTGATAAAATGCCTCAGCCCTCTGGAAAGTTTAGATAAACTTTAACAGCATTAAGCTGTTGCAGTTTGGGTTCCTGAGGAAGCTGACTTTGAGAGAGAATTCAGCATGCAGGGAGAACTTTTGGGATCAGCATGTGTGTGTGGGAGGGGACAAAAGCAGAGTTGAGTCGAGGGAGCAACAACAGGCTCAGTCAACCCCACGTTAAGAAACAAAGTTCATCCCTGGCCAGTTTGGCTCAGTGGTTAGAGCGTCTGCCTGTGGTCCAGAGAGACCCGGGTTCAGTTCCCGCTAAGGGCACGTACTTCAGCTGCAGTTTGTCCCCGGCCCTGGTTGGGTCGTGCGGGTGGCAGCCACTTGATTGTCTCTTTCACATCGATGTTTCTCTCTCCCTCTCTTCCTCTCTCTCCCTCCCACTCTATCTGAATAAAAACAATGAAAAAATATCCTCGGGTGAGAATAAAAAAAAAAAAGAAAGTTCTACTGAGTACATTTTAAAGAGTGTATTGGCTGTACTCAGCAATTCACGTGAATTGAGCAGCATCCCATCTGGCAGATGGAAAGGAGCTCTGAGGAGTTGTACAAAATGAAAGTCTTTTATAGCAGAAGGGGGAAGGAACAAGGAACTTCTACTAGAAAAAGTAGATTGGCTGTAGCAAGTCACTTCCCTTTAGAGGGTGGTACAGGTCTATCAGGCAGAGTATGTCTCTAGTGCTCACCAGGTAACTCCTGGTTGACTGGTTTAAGATTCAATTTCTAGGAAAGCTGAAACTGTAATTAAGTATTAAGTCTTGATCATTCAAAACCGCCTGACATCGAGCTGAATG